CCTAGTGAACAGAAAGGTAACAAACAGATAAATTAATGAGCAACATAATTTTAAATAGGTGAGTAGTACTCTAACAAAATTAAAAAGTAACAGGGTAGAGAGGAAGTGATTTTAGGTTGAGTACTTAGGGATGACCTCTCTGAGGATCTGTGGATAAAGACCTGAATGACAAGATAAAATTTGTCCAGAAAGATGGGCTAAAACATGAAGGGAAGCTGTCAACATTCTGTGCTGGATAAACTGCTGTCAATCACCCAAACTTTTTCATTCCTCCCTACATACACCTTTCACTCCAGCCAGGTATGTCCCAAGAGTTGACAATCCTCACCTCACCCTCCCATGAAGATGATATATGATACACAAACACACACATACACACATTCACACATTTTTTTTTCCAGTACTGGAACTTGAGCCCCAAGGCCTCTCACTTGCTAGGCAAGCACTCTGCCCTGACTAAACCCCTAGCTCATTCTTTGTTTCTTATGAGACAGGGTCTCACCAAGCTGCATAGGCTGGCCTTGAACTTGCTCCTCCTCCTTCAGCCTCCTAAGTAACTGAGATTAAAGACATATGCCAACCATGCTTAGCTAAAAATGGCATATTCTTCATAGTCCCCAAGTCACCCTTCATAAACCCCAAATGGGCAGGCCTTCTTCCCCACAAAGGAACAACAATAATAGGGCAGAAGGAGGAGGGGAAATGTTTATGGCATCATTTGGCATCTGGGGAAACCACAACACATTTTCACATACCTTTATCCTGTGGAAAATATGTGCAGTGTTGTATTAAGATGTCACCAAAGGCATCAACCATGAACATGAGCTGCTGGACTGGAGTGCCCCGCTGAGTGGGGACCAATAGTGCCCTCCTGACAAACAGTCATTTGGTGTATTGTATTGCTACCTTTGAGATCTAATTAAACCCTTTAGGGAGAGGCCTCTGGTTGTTTCCAGGGGGACATGTGGCAGCAGAAACTTGAAACTGTGTGTTGGAACACGGGAGGAATGCTCCTGCGTCCATCACCAGCGTGATTCTGGAAACCACACTGTCCTTGTCATTGTTTATAAGAGTAAACAATGCTTCTCCTGCCTCTAAGCCTTAGATTCTATTATTCTAGAATGCCCAGACCTTTCTTATCTGTTTGCAAATATTGCTGATCATTCAAAGCCATTTCTGCCCTAAAGCCTTTCCCGG